AAAAAAAAATTGTTATTAACTTTTTAAAATTCGTAAGGCCCTGACTATTAGGTAATACTTCACCTTGTTCTGGTTGGCGGTGTGTGCTGCAGACCCCTGCTGTTGCTTCGGCTTTTTGCCCATAAAAAACGAATGCTGAGGACATTCGTCTTCGCTGCTCCACACTTTATTTGCCTGCCAAGAGAACGGAATGAACAAATGACAAGCATCTTGTAAACCACAAAAATTGTTCGATCAGAAACCACTAATAGGCCCTTTGTAGCTAGCCATTCACGTGGTACAAAACTGCCGTGCTGGAGAGAAAAAGTCGCCCTGGGACAAGACAAACAAAGGAAATTACTATTTAAAATTGGGTATGTCTTTTGTTTGTCTTGTCCCAGTGCGACTTTTGCTCTCCAGCACGGCGGTTTTGTACCACGTGAATGGCTGGCTGCAAAGGGCCTATTGGTTCTGCAGAAACCTCAAACTACTAATGCTGAAGCCATTGCTTAAGCCATTTTTACAGCCAGGTTTAAGTCCAGGTTTTGCCCTGATGTAAATTTAAGAAAATTTTCAACGAATCTTCTTTTTCTCGCACATCAGCTATAGCTAGGATCCGACGAAGGTGATGGCAACAAGAACGTAAAAAAACACAATAGGTTCAGTGATTAGCGAAATAACAACACTGCACATGCATCACTTTTTTTTACACTTCTTTGCCTTCACTGCACGACTACGACGTCAAAATGCTAGATTTAACGTTTTGTAGAGCACGTAAGCAAGCAACGACGAAATGTTTTCTCTATCGTAACTTGAATAAGGTTCTTAGGAGTTTAACTTTAGAAGAGTTCTACTTTTACCAAGGTAAGAGAATTGGAATAATTAATTGGCAGCTTTGACTTTCGCGCTTACAATATAATTCTTTAGCTCAACAGCACTAGTAAATTTTGGAATATGTCTTAAATGGAACTTTCTTTCACCGCTTTCTTATTTTCCGTTAGGATTTTGAGACAGATGTTCATTGTCTCCATTTCGCGTGCTACTGCGCACAGGAATACACGAAGTTAAACTTCCCGCCTACAAAGAGATCTACCACAATGCACTGCAGGCTATGAAACTTGGATCATGCATCATAAATCATTCTTCGCCGAATTAACCTTAATTGAAATGGGTGTATATATTTTTTTACATAACAAAGTAAGGTAACTGACGAAAACTATATTTGCCAGTATGATTAATTATTGGACATATATTATTCACACACATATCCACAATGGCTTTTAAGTTGCGTTGAAGCCTTTTTTTCAATGAGGCGCTGATAAGCCTTCTTGCAGAATTTTGTGTAGGATCGAGGAGTTTTAGTCGCATCTTTGGTTTGTTGGTTACCGTTGATGGGCGAACATATTTATTTACACGTTGTTAGAGTAGATACACCTTTATAGTTCTCAAGATAGTTAGTTTTGACTTTAAATTTCCTTACGAAATCATCAAAGCCTTACCACACCTGCTTTAAACCATGATTTGTAAAAAAAAGGTTTCTCGATCGTAATCAGTGCGTTGTTCCAGATACGAGTTGACTCAAAAACTGGGTTCTCACTATAATTTAAGTTGGACCAGTATTCTATTTCTTTTACAAAAGGGTCTCATATTTTCAGCTGTGATGCATCTTTTTGTTTTAAATTGCACGACAACAATAATTTCCCGCCGTATGACTCTCCAAGTAGCAATCGAAAAAAACTTTCTATTTGCCTTTGTTCTCTTTGTTTAGGTAGCTTTGAACTCATTTCGTCACGGGTAACCCAGGCTCTCTGATAGTACCACAGTACGGGTCCATTAAAATTACGGTGTTTGTATGAGGTAAAAATATGATCCTAAAATTTGTAGGAAATATCAAATAAAGGTCAGTGAAACTTACTCTGCAGTTAGTTGTTGTTGTCCTTAATGCTCCAACAAGTTTCGTGATACTTTCTTCAAATTATATCAATCAGGGCACGCCTAAGGTACCGAATAAGCTCCTCACGAGGTGAGCACGATGGAATGTCTCGTTCGAATACCATTTCGGTTTGCTTGCAGTTTGAGCTAAATAATACTGTTTAAGATCCAGGCCTGGATCCTAAGTAAACTTATCACGTGATGCCCTTTCAGCAAACTTCCTTTTTTGCGATGCCTTTTTGCGTTATACCTCTTTGCGTACTGCCCTTTTGCGTATTGGCTCTTTGTGTGTTGCCCTTGAAAGATACCAGCAAGAGCTTGGTAAGGACTTTAAGAGGATAACTTTATACATATGCACAAAATCTGATTATCATTTGCATGAGTGTGGTAGATACCTTGAAGATGAAGAGCCGGATAAAGGCAAGTGTGTTGATGTTGACAATTTTGAGAATGTTGTGGTTACTGACGACTCAGACTTCGAGCAACCAGGGACCAGTGGACACTCCTCTGAAAAACACGGCTATGTTAAAGATCATGAAGAACCTAACAGTGCTCAGATAAGAAGTGACCATGACATGGCTCTGGCGTGGCACAAAAGCATCAACAATGAAGATGATGAGGAGGGGGACCTATGTGCCATGGTACCTACCCCAAATGATGCTGGGTCTTACCCTGCTGTGTCTGACCCCGCATCAGTCGTGAAATTCCTGCAAAATAACGTCATTGACGATTGTCACCTCTTTTTGACAATGAGAAGAGAGATAATTCTAAGTTGGGTGGTGCAGTTATGGCAGCGTGAACTGAAAAAAAGCCTGTGGAGTACAAACTTTCCATTAAATACTTAGGGGAAGAAGGTATAGACACTGGTGCATTGTCTAGAGAATTTTTGGCTGTGATTAGTGATATTGCTAAGATTGTGTTCCCAAATGGAAGTCCAGTACATTCAACACTGTTCATTCAGAATGGAAATTTCCGAGCAGTACGAGAGATTGTTGCAGCCAGTCTCGCACAAAGTGGACCTCCACCATGCTTCTTGGAAGAGTCAACTTACAATATGTTAGTGGATCCAAGTGTTGACCTCAGAAGTCTTGATAAAGAACGTCACCTGAAACCAATAGAGAGAGAACAGATTGACAAAATCAAAGGTGATCTTGATAATTATCATGACATCATTATTGATCACGGATATACTGGCCCAATCAAGAAGGATATGATGGATGACATCATTGGCTCTATAGTTCTCAGCATTGTCAGCAGAAAATTACTCTCCTTGGGTGAGTATGGCCTAAAAGACCTCCTTCCAGACCATCCTGAGTCATGCAGACCCTTTTTTATAATGGGGCACGTTGACGCTGTTGATGCCAGCTACTTGGATGGGCTTTTGGAGCCAGAATTTTCTGACATGGGAACCCTAGAGAGAACTGTGGAGGATCAGGTTATAGATAACTTTCAGAACTTTCTTCACAAGCATGAGGATGAACAGATTTTTGTATTCTGAAGGATTTTAGAAGCGAATGTGGAACAAATAAACACACGTGCGTATACCAAGAACATATTTGGCAACTGTTTATTCCACCTTCTTACATCATCTTACATCACGTGACCAGTACCACCCAAAATACCACATTTCCTCCTTCCTATACAGTTTTCATAACACTCAACACAACTTACAAAGAAAAACTATAAATCTAATCAGTCTGGACGATTGATCACCCGTCCTGAACGCGTAACCACTTGACATGGTCTGGATTCAGAGTGACTAGGCATGACAGGTTTTGCAAACACTTGGTCTGGACTGCGAAGTCCAGAGTTGTTACCCGCTCTCTACGTTACTATCATCATCAACAGCAGGTACAGCAATAACACTAGACTTAAAGGAAATCTCATTGTCTACTTCAAACTGAATTCGTAACCTTGTTTTGGGAACGACAGGTTCCCTCTCAAAATCTGAGGGTGGATTATGCTCTACCATTTCTGGTGTGAAGATTTCCTTATGGGCACTCATGCCTCTGGCCTCATCAGGTATCAAGTGATTAGCATGCACATAGCGACGCTCATTACACGGAACTCGAACAAGGTAGGTATCTGGACCCTTCACAGCCACAATTGTACCCGGTATCCATTTCTCTTTCCCTTCCCTGGTGTTTTTTACTCTAACTGGTTGATACAAATCAATCCTTTGCCCCGTGGGGTGCAGCCCATCCCTGTATAATTTTGAAGCAACCTGTTTCTTTTCTACATGCCTTTGTAAACTGGGTTTCACCAAGGAGAGGTGTGTTCTGGGTTCTCTCTTCAAAAACAGTTATGCAGGAGTCTTGTATGTTGTGGTGTGGGGTGTGTTTCTGCAGCGGAAGAGGACATTAGCCACCCTGTGCTGAACTGACCCCTTTTCAGTTTAAGACTGATAAATGGCCTTGAAGGTCTGCACATGTCTCTCAGCTAAACCATTAGTGGAGGGATGATATGGGGGACATAAAGTGTGCTTGATGCAATTCATCTTTAAAAATGACTTGAACTCTCCAGCAACACATTGTGGGCCATTGTCGCTGACTAATTCATGTGGCAATCCATATCGAGCAAACAGAGCTGTTAAAGCCTCTATGGTAGCATTTGTTGTAGTGCTGGTCATAGGAAAGACTTCCATCCATTTAAAGTGGCTGTTAACCACAACAGGAAATTGTTGACCCTTCACCTCAGCATAATCAACATGAATTCTTTGCCAAGGTTCAGTCGACCAAGGCCACAATAATAAGGGGCATGATGTGCCTTAGTACAAAGATGACAAAGTCTTACTTTGTCCTCTATATCAAGGTCAATACCGGGCCACCACACAAAGGACCTGGCAAGTGTTTTCATACGGCACATCCCTGGATCGCACTCGTTTAACTCTTTCAATAAGCGTTTTTGGAATTTGAATGGTATGATGACACGTCTGCCCCATGAGAGGCATCCGTTTTCCAAAGAAATCTCGTTTCTACGATTCCAAAATGGTTTGAACTCTGGACTTGGGCAACTACCAGGCCAACCAGAGGAGGTACATTCATACACGTTTACAAGCAGGCTATCTTTTTTTGTACCTTTTGCTATCTCTGCTGCTGTGAAGGGTAATTCATCTGTTGTGGTTACACACACAGTGTTTATCTGGATCCAAATCATCATAAGCCTGAGATTGTATGGGAAATCGACTGAAGAAATCTGCATTTGCATTGCCAGCAGAGTCTGAATACAATGTCAAAATCATATCTAGACAGGAGATCAGCCCAACGTTGCAAACGAGCTGCAGCCAAAGGAGGAATGGTAGATTTAGGACCAAAGATATGAGTCAGGGGTTGATGGTCAGTTACCAATGTAAATTTCCTGCCATAGAGGTAAAGTTGAAATCTTTTAACACCAAAAACTATGGCTAACCCCTCTTTTTCTATCTGGGCATAATTCTTTTCAGCACTGCTAAGTGTGCGAGAGGCAAACTCCACCGGCTGCTCACTGCCATCTTCCATGGGATGACTCAACACAGCTCCAATCCCATATGGATTGGCATCTACACTCAGGATGAGAGTTTTGGGAGGTCATAATGAACCAAAACCTGCTTACTCGAAAAAACTTCTTTAGCCCATATAAAAGCCGTTTCACATTCTTTGGTCCAAAACCACTCAGTGTTGTTATTGAGAAGCTGATACAATGGGTGAAATTGGATGAAAAATCTTTGATGAATTTTGAGAAGTAATTCAGCATTCCTAAAAACGACCTCATCTGGGAGACATCTTTAGGTCTAGGGGCCAATCTAATTGCGTCCAGCTTGCTATTAACAGGACTGATTCCATGTTTAATCAAAATATGGCCCATATACTTCACTTGAGCTTGGAAGAGCTGACATTTTCCGCCATTTAACGTAACATTGTGTTTTGCCAGTCTGCTAGACCTGTTTGATAATTCCCATGTGAGTAGTGACTCCACCTGATGTTGCCACCAGAATGTCATCCACTCTCACCATCACACCCTTAATACCAGACAGGATCGAGTCCATGACCGTCTGAAACTGAGACCTTGAAGTTTTTCAACCAAAACACAATCGCTTGGATTTGAATAAACCTTTTCGAGTGTTGATGATGAGTAACTTAGTTGACTCTTCATCCAAAAATAATTGGTTGAAAGAACTGGCCAAATCAATTGCTGAAAAGGTATCAGGGTTAGCTCAATCCTGAGATAGCATGGCAAACATGTCTTGTACATTAGCTAATTTGTACACGTCATCCTCTATACACTCATTAATTGCCTTATAATCCCCACACATTCTTATGAAACCGTCAGATTTAGGGACATGCACTACAGGGCCTGTCCATTTACTACTGGATACCGGATACAAAATATCTGACTGCACAAGTCGATCATACTATTTTTCAACTTTTTCTACGAGGAAGTAGGAGACTGGCCTATTCTTCATGAACACCGGTTAAGCACCCTCTTTAAACTTCAATGAACCAATGAAACCCTTGATGCCAGAGCCTTGACTGCTGAATAATAAATGGTTGAATTCAGCAGGAAAGGTCTCCGATTTTGGAACAGAAAACGTATCCTTAATGACCTCTTCCTTTACCCTAAACATGTTCTTCCAATCTAGTTTTATTCTACTTAACCAGTCTCGCCCAAACAATGCAGGGAGATTTCCTTCGACAACAATTAAATCAAGGACTTTTTCTTGATTATCATACTTCACTGGCACAGAAATTTTTTCCAATACAGGAATCTTTTCACCTGAATAACTACGCAAAATTATTCCCGCATGCTGAAGGGTATAATTAGATAATACAGAATCATACACACGCTTTGACACTGTAGAACGAGATGCCCCCGTGTCTACTTCCATCCTCCAGTTAACTTTTGTCTTACCTAACTGAACATTTACTACATACGGATTGACGCTATTTACAGACTCGGTCGACAAATGGTCAGTTCCAGTTTTGTACAACCCAAAAGCTGCCTCCACGGTCGTGTCACTCACATGATTACCTCTTTCCATAATTCCATCATCAGAATTGCTTTCGCAGCTGTTCAGCCTAACATACTTTTGACCACTTGATCTTCCTTTAAGCTGCATTTGCGACGGTAGGGCTTTACACACTGGACGAATATGACCTTTCCGCTTACAGTGATGACACGTGGCATTTCTGAATTTGCATGATTCTGAACGATGCTGCACGCTTCCACATGACTTGCATTTGTCTGCGTTTTCACTACTCTGCGCTTTGCTATGTCCAGAAGTGTTGTTTCTTCCTCTAAAAGAAGAAATATCCCGAACCTTATTGGCCTCACCACCAGCCGACTCTCCAATGTGCTCTATGTTCGCCTTGCCTGCCATTTAATCTGCAACACACTTGTCATGTGCAACCGCGTAGGTCAAATCTCTTATCGACAGGGGGTGACGTTGAGTTTTGGACATTTTCGAATGTAATCCAGAAACTAGTCTGTCTCTTAGGGCTTGAGATAGAAATTCGCCGAAGCTGTAGGTCGAAGCCAATTTCTTCAGTGTAACGACGAATTCTGATACACTCTCGCTTCTCCCTGTGACGTCCAGAACTTGTGTCTTTCAGCAATAACAATGGGAGCAGGTTCGTAGTATCCCTGCAAAAGCTGCGTCAACCGTGTAAACGTCTTCGTATTCGGATTGTCTGGATCGCAGAAATTCTTCAACAACTTGTAAGCGTCTGGACCAATAACAGCCAGAAAAACATTTACTTTTTTGTCATCGTCGATGTCATTCGCCACAACATATGCTTCAAATCGATCGATATAATCACTAAATTTCTCGGACTTCTCGTCAAAAGGACCCAAATTACCAATGATTGCAGCCATGTGTACACTCTGTTTACATTGAGGATCCCATCCTCGTCGCCAATTTTGTATTCTGGAGGATTTTAGAAGCGAACAATGAGGAACAAATAAACAGACTTGCGTAAACCAAGAACATATTTGGCAACTGTATATTTCTCCTTCTTACATCATCTTACATCACGTGACCAATACTACCCAAATTATCACACAGATAACAGGCTATTCATCAGCAGTGGCCTGGAATTATGACTCTGATTTGCTAGAAGGAAGTGGAGAAGGTGATGTTACCGTGGATGAAGAGAAGTATGAGGAAGCAGAGTTATAAGCAGGCGTTATGCAGTGGCTAACTGGGCAACGACACTGAGAGATAACTGGTGGCACCTTGAAAATAAGTGTGAAGTTTAATCACACTTGCAAAGTTGAAAGGCCAAATCATAGAGTACGTTTGTCTTATGTTGGGGCGTGCGGAATGGAAATAACATTTCCTGTGATTCACATGACCAAGTATGATGAATTTTGAGAACATTTTCCTACTGGCATATTGCAAGGGATAAGCTTTTGCCAGGCATTAAATCACAGGACAAAAAACGTGGCAACTAAAGAAATACACTTAATACAGTTTTAAGTTATTGAACTAGGAGACGAAGCTTAACTTATATAAACTAGTAAACTTGCTTTTTCTTTGCCAGAATTTACCAGTGTCCTCTTCACTAAGGTAGCGTAGTGTACATAATGTACATGGCTGGCATGTTGTTTCAAACCTCTCAGTGCTGAGGATTTTGCAACATCTAACTTCTCCTTTAATTATAAGGAGACCACACATTTGCTTCTTAGAAGAAAGATGTTAGTCAGACAAAGTTTATTAACTTAGTGAGATGCTTAATGTGCTCAAATGTTTAATGTTTTCTGTTAAGACTGACAAGACTTGATAGTCAAGTGTTTCCACCGGTAGTTTTTAAATAGATGTTAAATATCTAATTCCGATACAGGTAAATCACAATTTCATGTCTTGTATTGTTCTCACTGTTAAGGTTCATGGTTTTTGTTAAAGTTCTTGTTGCTATTTGAATGCTGGCAGTTTGCAATATATGTACATCTTCGATGTTTCACTGTTCAGCTACATGGTCATTAATATTGTTACAGCTCCTATTGCTAGTTGGATTTTTGCAGTTTACAGTTAATCCATAATGCTATATTAGAATGCAGGAACAATTTTATTGATCTATACCCTGCAGTGACCATCTTTCAACCATATAAGTCGCAGGATGCAAACAGTTGGACAAAGCAATCACACAGTCAATCAATTAAACCACCATTCTATCAGTCAGGCACTCAATCAGTCATCTATACGCTCAAGGAGAGTTGTTTAAGCGACGTTTTGCTCATGATTTTTTTTGCTTCCTGTGAATGGAAACAGAGTAATGTCTGCCAACTCTGGCGTTATTTTGGTTGAAAAAGTAATGAGTTATAGCATTGATTACTTGGTTGAATGGTAACTAATAAAATGTATTTTCAAGTCACAT